CTTTGTCTCCCTAGTCTTGGAGGCGATGTCAACACATCCAATACAATGTCGTTGGCTTCAGTAGAGCTCTGCCAATTGATAGCAGCTGAGGATCTGTCCCCTTGTGTTCTAATTCTACAAACACTTCCAGATAGCATCCTCCTTAACTATTGTGTAGCACGTCTTACACTGACTCAACAGGTTGTACAAATGGCTGTGATAACTACAACACTCTCAGCCAATGGCTGAGCCATAGTATTTGTATATGCTTAAATGAATTCACTGGGTGGACTTTGTGCTCTGCAAAGTGACAGAGCATTAACCTCATGATGCACTGTCCTCACTGGCTCCCCGTTTACATGCAGGACTCAGTTCCAGGATCTTAAATGTTCTCCAGGACTTGCAATGTATTACTGTACCTAGCTTGTCTTTTAACTTATTAACTCCACATACCATCATTTGCTCCTACACTGCATCTGTCACTCAGAGTATCCAGTTGATCTTGGTGGATTCATGGTTGGCTTTATTCTGTGCTTTGCTCAGTCACACTCAATATATATTAGAACTTAATTTTAATTCTGTCTTTTAAACACACTTGTTTACTTATGTGCTGAAATTTGCAGTAATCTGTGCTGATGACTGAAATTTCTCTCTCCTGATACTGAGAGCACAGTATTGAGAATGATGTCAAAGGCACTAAATAGCAAAACTTTTGACAATTATTCTAAAGGGTTTTTTTTTTTTTACTTTTTGTACTAACTTCTGTATTGTTTTCTACCATTTCTTTGCTTTCAACTTTAGAACCTTCATACATCCAAAGAATAAACAAAATGTGATGGTGGCACAAATACAGAGAATATAGCTATGTGACATTACTATGAGACCCTGCTGAATTTAAAGGGAGTTGAAGTGCAACTTATAGAATAGGACCCTTGCTCACCAATGGCCATGTCTTCCCAACCACCTTGCTAAAATGCATAGAAAAAAGTTTCCCTATATGCCCACTCCACCCACAAATACTGGATTTGGGTCGACAATCCCAGTTTGCACGTGCAAATGTGGGCTGGAGATGGGAGATGCAATATCTGCACATACCCTGTTTGCAAGCATGATTCAGAAGGTCAGTTTGGGCCTAAAGTAACATAGTTAATAGTTAATCTTTTGAATTCAACTACAACCGCTGTGAGCTACAGCCCCCAAAGGAACTAATGTTGAACCTTGTTCCAGCCACGACAACGTTTTATTAGTGAAAACAGATGTAGTGGGAAGAGTTTAATTTCAGCCTTTTCTGAAAACACAATTCCCTGGGAGAAGTTCATTCCTGGTGTCGAACATTCTGCACCACTTCAGCACAGTGCTCACATGCCACATCTCTGTGCTGGGCCCACATACTCCAGCACAGAAGACCACCAATGGTGGTGGCCAAGTAGTGTTTGCAGATCTGAGTTTATGCAGATTGCCTGGCCCCCATATCCTTTGAACCCGATGCATAAGGGCTTCCGCTATTATTCTACGTGCTGGAATAGGAGCATGTCTGTGCAGCAAGCCTACATCCCGTCCTTGGGTTGGTGGAGGGGAAATTATCATGTCTCTATGCCGGTGGGGTGAATTTCATGCCTAGTGAATAATACAATTCAGAACTGGAGTCACTGGAAACTGAGACATCCAGCACAGGTCCCAGTCAGTCCCCACAGTCTTGTCAAACTAAGGGGAACAGCACAATACTTGGAAGCTCGCTTTTTATTTTAGTTCAGTTTAATTTAAAGTTCACCGCAATGGAGCAACACTGGAAATTGAAGCAACAAGGATAATACATGAATTCATCATGAAGGGGCCTCAGATTCTGTTACTAGGTATTTAGCTAGCTCCTCAGCTGGTGTAACTCCCTTGAAGTCGACGGAGCTGGATCTTTTTACACCAGCTGATTTCAGCACATTAGGAAAAATAATTTACTTCTGGCTCCCCAGAGTCTGAAGCCAGTGGGAGCAGAGGGGCCTCCCTCCTCCCAGGAGATCACCACAGGCTCAGGGGCAGGTTCGGAGAGAACTCAGGGCCTGAACTAATGGCTGGCGAAAGCAATGGGACTCTCTCCTTTGACATCAATGGGCTTTGGAAGATGAGTGTTTTGGAGGCTAAAGTCAACTGGAATTTTTTCTTTTAGATTTGGTGGGCGAAACAGCCTAAACAGAAGCCACGTGCAAACAATCTGATCGTTTGTCCCCATTTATATGTTCCACCAGCTACCTATCTTTCTGGAACAAACAACTATTACTTAGTTACCAGTGGCTATCACCACTCAATATCTAGCTCTTATTAGAGCTAGATGCAATTTTACATCAAAATTTGGAATTTTGATTAAAAAAGTGAAATTTTGGCAAAAACATTGCCTGATTTTTTGAGGGGAAGGGACCCCATTTTTCAAATAGCTCCAGTTCTTACATTCTGCAGGGGAAACAGGATGCTCCTTAAAAAGGTCTTATTCCACCATAAGGGGAAAAGAAATCTCACTTTAAAACCAAGGGGGCAGTTCAGAAACATTCAGGGGGAGGGGGTGAAATTGTGTCAGCACCCCTACTTCTGACTCCCCACTGAGCCAATGGCTGCTCATGGGGTGTTAGTGGACCGATTCCATCCTGAGGTTAGAGTGAGGAGGGGGAGCAGGTCATGTGCACGTGTCTCTTACTGATGGCTGGCCCGGGTCAGGGATTGGGGCCTGGCTTGCGCCACGCCTAGCTCCGGCCCTGGACAGCAGTCCTGCTTTTTGTCCAGCCAGTGAGACAGCAGAAGCCACTCAAGACAGTCTGCTTCCCTCTCCTCATAGGGCTTGGGTGGCAGATTTGGCCTGGCTGTCCTGCTATGAGGGAAGGATAGCTGGGCCCAATCTGAGTGAGTGGCATTGAGACCTAGAGCGAGGGGTTGCCATGCCACTCAAATTTGGCCCAACCATCCCTCTGCCACGATGGCGGGGTGGCCAGGCAAATCTGCCACCCTATGAACCTGTCCAGAAATCTACCCCCATTCGCAGCTGCCCAAAAGACTGGGAGGGCAAACCAAGGTCACCCCCAGCCTACAGCATATGCCTCCCCTGTTTATAACAAGACCCATGTTTAAAGCAATTTATAACCAGGTTAACTTCCTCTCCCTCCGGAAAACAAACAAACCTGCAGAGCTGAGATTGATTTGTGGGGAGAAGTTAATATTTTCCTGCTCTCTGTACACAGTGGTAATTTTTTTTCCCAGACGAGAAATGGCGAGAGCGAATGCTCAGGAATAAAGCTAATTCAAACGAAGGCTACGCACAGGGAGAGCGACATATAAGAAAACACGTACAGCAAATGTTTTGCCTCGTTGGTTTGAGCTCTTTTAGCGCTGGCCCCACAGGCGAGAATATTTGATCAGTCTATTGTCACACGCAGAGAATGCTGGGACAGCATCCTGCTCCCTGTTAATGGCAGTTTACTACCCATTAACGTGTGCTAGAGGCTAGCTGAACTTCAAGGGTATTTGGTTTTTAATGACAGCTCCCTGATCTTTTATTTTCCTACACGGCACAGCTGAATAACTGATCAGAGGAGTGCCATGCTGAGGATCAGACTGTGCCTGCCTCTTGTGTCTAGGGCGGGTGTAGAGTGGGAGAAGGGGCAAGGAGTCTTGCTGCGTAAGCATTGCTCTCTCAGTTTGCCCCCGGTGGTGCAAAGTGCCCCAGAGGCAGCAGGAGAGGAGGTAGGACCATGCCCGGTCTGCAGCAGTGAGTGGAGAAGACCAGGCTCAGCCTCACAAGGAGCTTCACAAGGAGAGCTCAAGGAGGAATAAGGGGTCCATGAAGCACAATCCTCCCAACCAGGATGGTGTCTGACTGGAGCAACGCAGCCCTTCACCACCAGCACGTCACCCTTTCATTTCCATGCAAAAAACTGTAAAGCATTGCGAGGGGTGAAGGGAAAACCCCCGCTAACGTTTCATGCCTCATTTCCTTTGGGCTAGAATTTGACTGTAGGCACAGCCCTGAGCAGGGAGCGGTGCGTCTCCTCTGAGTCTCAGTTCCTGCTCTTGTTCCGTGGGGCATAGGACTTATGGCTGGCTTATACCAGCAATAAACTAATATTCCCCCACCTGTGTGCTGGGTCAGCTACTCTGACCAGCGAGTGGGGGTCGTGGAGCCCAGGCTGTGCCCGTTCCCTGTCTCTAGCTGCCCACTTCCCAAAGACTTGGGAGTAAATGGGCAAGTAGCCCTGCTAACTTGTACATGCCCAGTCCCAAGATCGTGGTAGGCCATGCAAGGAGTCCAAGTAGCGGAGGAGGGGGAGAGAAAGGGGTTCTCACTCCCACAGGTGGGACAATCTAGCCCTCAGTCAGTTTGCTTTACAGTGCAAGCTACTGTGCTGTTCTTCCCGCTCTGAAATAACTATAGGATGATTCCCAGTGACAGCTGCCAAGTTTACTTTTCCATTAAGCGAAATTCATGAACTAAACATAGCTGCTGGTAAATGCCACCAGAGGAAGTCTCCAAAGTGTTTGGAAGTCGCATTTTTTTCCACCAATTCCTTAGCAATTAACTCAATAAAGTCTCAAATGAAAAATGAGAGGAATATTATGTCCGGGGTCTCTGTGTTTGGTTTGTTTGTTGGTTCAGCTCAGCTGAATATTACATACTGGTGCTTCTCAGGTTAATTTATATTTGGAGAGAAAAAAGGGTGAAGAGATGGGCTGCTGAGTAAAAAATTGTAATTTGTAATATCAATGATAGAAGTATTCAGATAAGGATTTAATGGGCATAACCTTGCTTCCAGGGTCCAGGAGAAGCATTACACTTAGCAAAATGGCATATAAATCAGCTCTATATGGCATGATTTGGTGCATTTTAAACATTACCTTGCAAGTCCTGAGGGGGACTATCCCTCTAAGGTGGAAGAAGCCTGCAAAGATTTCACAGCTTAATTTTGTGCTGTAGATCTTAAGAAGTCGGTGTTCTTTTGTTTTCGCAAGCAGGGGCAAAACTCTCTGTGTTTACGGACACTTACCTATAAACCGTATAATTCTTCGAAGTAACGGGTTCAGGTAACAGCACTCTCCGGTCAAGATAGTTTTCTCCTGGACAATCAGGGTTTCTCGGGTTGACTTTATGAAATACATGGAGATCTCGCCGATAAAAATCTGCAGCAGTGGGGAAAAAAGAAAGGGACGTTTAAGAATCATAAGGACACATGTTCAAAGGTGGATGCCTGAATCAAGGCCATAGACAATACTTCTGCACTAGTGTGCCTACAGAACATTGCACTTACACACTGTTACCTGTCAGCTCTGTGTTCTTGGGGAACCAGGGCACAGTAGCCAGCCTGTCTGACTCACAAAACTCCCCCTCCCCCCCCCCCCGCCGCCAGCCTCTGCTTGAACCAAAACTGATCAGAAGAAAGACTTACAAAAAGCAATGAAAAGGCAGTGGGAGACACACCTAAACCCCTGGGATAAGGGTGACAGAATTAAGGCAACTCCCCTAGCCTCATTTGCATCGAAGATGGGACAAGGAGGCATCTCCATTAGCAGACAGAATGAAGAACAGAGATTCCAAGGCAAGAACCGCACTGAACTCTGGGACCAGCAAAGCAGGGAAGCACTGCCTGATGGGGGATCTCTGCTCCAGATGTTAATGAACCCACGCCTGCACACACCCAACTCAGTAATCCTTTATTGGTATCCAAAATAGTGAAGCTGCCTAATTGCATTGTGAGCTCCCTCCAAGGAACAAGGCCCATAGCCAGGAATGATCAGTTCCTATTGTCTAGCCTGAACAAAACAACGTTGGTATACTCCCTTGAGCCATCAGTTTACACATAAACAAATCTAGTGTTCTCCCTTGAACCATTGTGTTGTTTCTCTACAAAAACCCCTACCCACGCTCAAGTAAGTGTTCTGATGCCTGGATCCAAAATCTGCATCAGTTCCATTGGGACTTCATCTTCTCCTGACTGATCGTACTGGGGGCTCTGTCTGTCTCCAGCACTCCAGACCCTCAGCTACTCCCACCACCTGGGACCCCCGATCGATTCAAGCTTCACAGACTGGTGAGAACCTAACTCTCTCTCTCTCTCTCTCTCTCTAGGTATAGCCTTCTGACCCTGACTTGTGTGATCAGTTATAGTTTTCTAAACCTGACTTTTATAATCAAGTTTAAGTTAGATTTAATATTATAACTGTTTTGTTTGTTTGGCTCCCCTATGGTTATTACCTAGCAATAAATAATTTTCATGATTGAGCTGGTTGCTTCTCTCTCTCTCTGTCCCCCTCGTGGGTGTTTTTTGGTTTCCTCATTCGCTCTGTAGCAACGCTTCTCGTACCTAAGCTAAAAGATCCCTGCAGCGCCCAAAAATCCTGTGGGGTTTGCTCATCAAGTGGGTTACTACCAGAACAATTGTAACGGGAAAGTGGGGATAGAGACGTGCTGAACCTGGGACACATGAGGGTGGCAGATTGAAAGTGCTGCTCGACCCAGCCTGCTCAGGCGTGCTCTATTCCGGTGCAGTGCCCATGGCATATGAGGGTGACAGCTTGGAGGTGCTGCTCGACCCAGCCTGCTGAGTCCAGGGACATATAAAGGGTCAGCTTGGAAGTGCGGATTATCCCGGTCCTCTCAGACGTGCTCTGTTAATGTGTGTGTTCGTCTGATTCTGGGGCTGGAGGAACCCAGCCCTGGGGAACCTAGGTCCTGCAGGATAGCTCCATTGGGTGGGAACTTGCAGCAAGGAGAAGTAGAGCTCCATATGAGAACACAAGTCACACAAGCAGTACATTGATAGAAGTACAGAACACCCTCTCCAACCCCAGAAGAGTAACCCTAATAAGTGAGCATACGCCAAAGTAACAGGCAAAGCTGGTAACAACACCTAGGCTGTACTGTCATCAGGAAATAAACGGTGTGTTCTTAAGTTAGCTAACTCAAGACACCTAATAGGAGGTCAAATCCTAGTGAAGACAAGGCAGTTTGTAGTTTTCATACGCACTGGCAGGTTAAGCTCCCCCATAATCTTTACCTCAACCTGCTAGCACATGTGAACACTACACACAGTCTTGTCTTCCCTAGGATTTTATCTCGAGTTTGCTAACTCAGCTTAAGAACACACTTTTTTCCAAGTGAAGAAAAGCCCCCCAAGCATGATCCTGCTCCCATGAACTTCAATGGCACCGTGTTTATCCCTTAACTAGCCAACACTCACACACACATTTTTTGTGTGTGGATGCAACTGAGGCGTCCACACTGGAAAATGCAGCTCAATTTTCGGGGCCAAATCCTGGCCCACGCTCTGGAGATGTAACAGGACTGTAAAGCCTCCTTAGGTAGGCAGTTGAGGATTCCCGTGGCATGGAGGAACCCTCAGCTGGCACAAAGAGGGTCCTATGCCCTCCCCTCCTGGCTTTAGCATAGGGTGGCTGAAATGCACAATGTGGCTACATAAAGGCCTCTTGGGAGCCACTGCAACTACGCATAACTTAGAACAGCCTTGGGACCACTCGAAATTATGCTGGGGATTGGAGGACAAGCAAAAATAAACAGAGATTTGGTGCAACTGTGGATTCTGTGGGCCTCTTTTTTTTTTTTTTAACTGGAATTAATATGAACATCATTTCAATGGGAACTAGTCTGAGCTCACTAAACTTATTTGAGATAGGGTCACTAGAAGCTGATTATCTTGGGTTGGGTTTTCAAAAGCTCTTGCTACTCACCTAACTCTGCTGCCATTGAAGTCAGTGGAATTTGACCATTATATATTTATAATGGACTTCAGTGGAAAAAAGAAGCCAGACTGAAGTAACATAAATGAACTTTATACAAAGGGTGTACTCACAGCAATTCTAGGTAACTGAGCTAATAAGGATGTGGGAAAAGAAACCACGCCATTAGGAGAAGGCCCAAGTAGTAGATAATAAAACACATTCACTGAGCTCACCTATAAATATCAAATGACTACTCTTAGACCACTTTACTTGTTGCAACAGTATATTGTTTCAAGTGCAACAATAATTTATTCTTATTAACCTGGATGAGCATCCTTATTGATTCAAGCCAGGTATGTCCAGCCTCATTGTAATTCTAACCGCTGATGGTTAGAGATGCCGGCGTTATAAAATGCACATTCAAAATGGAATTTGAGAGGGAAGAGCCAAAGCGTGAGGCTGCACTGAAATATTGTCTTTATCCAGTTTATTCTATCTGCTCTCAGAGCTAGCACGTAGTTCAATAGAGTTCAATTCAGTAGCTAGAGTGGAAGAAAATAAAAGACCCTGAGCACCAATACAGTTTAAAAGTGACACATGATTTGTTCCCCTCTATTATTTGTGCTACTGCAGTACCCAGAAGCCCCAGTCATGACCGTGGCCCCATTGTGCTAAGCATGTGTACAGCACCTGTAGAGCTTCCAATCTAATTTAAGACGAGGTACAATTAGGTGGATAAAAAAAACCCCAAACGTTTTCAGTCAGGAGACATCTAAGTATAAAACACAAAAATACTGATCAAAATAAAACGTCTCCTTTAAAAACAATCTATTAATTTCAGTAGAGTTACTCCAGATTTACACCAGTCTGACTAAGAGCAAAAACTAGATACCCACAGTCCCGTGGATTTCTGTGCATATCAAATTAGCATAGCACTTAAGAAGTAGTTAGATAGTGTTTATAAATAAATAAATTAATGGAGATAACCTATCTCCTAGAACTGGAAGGGACCTTGAAAGGTCATTGAGTCCAGCCCCCTGCCTTCACTAGCAGGACCAAGTACTGATTTTGCCCCAGATCCCTAAGTGGCCCCTGCAAGGATTGAACTCACAACCCTGGGTTTAGCAGGCCAATGCTCAAACCACTGAGCTATCCCTCCCCCCATCATTTGTGAGGTAGCATCAAATGATTTGACACAATGGGCCTGATTCTTCTCTCCAACCAGTTTTATAGCAGTGTAACGGGTGTAGACATTTCTGATGCAGATTGCGGTAGGGCAGAGTACTCGAGCATATGCACAGTTTTAAGCATCTCTATAGTTCTGCTGACTTCACTAGGACTACTCCCATGCTTGAAGTTATGCACAAAAGGACCTTGTTAAATCAGGATATTAACCCACTGTTCGACAAGAATGAGGCCATTGTAAATGGAATTCAATTCCAGATTTGATTGGCGTATGGTATATTTCTAGATAAAGCATCTATTACTGTTACTTCCACTGGGAAAAAAAAGTAAGGCTCACAAGCTGCCGTTTCACACGAGCTTCCTACTTAATTAAACAGTAGAGCTGACAAGAAAATTGCATTGGAGGGTGGGGCCTTTTATTCAGCGCTGTAAGAACTGATGATGTGCTGTCTATGGTGACGTATGCAAAAGGAAACAAAGCCGCTATTAGATAATTGTTGGCCCTGATACTGATCTCACCTACACTGGTGTAAATCTGGAGTAACGCCACTACATTCAATGGAGTTAGATTGCTATGAGACTAGTTTCAGGAGCTATAGAGTGCCCAGTGAGATCTGGTGGTTGCAATAAGCTTTGTACATTTTCTTACATTTCTGCTTTCGGGGGATCTCGTTATTAACGCATCGCCTCGCTGTTTTTTAAACGCAGTCTGCCATTTTTAAGCAAGCATTCAAAAACACTGCACACACATACAGAAAATAGAATCAATTCTGCAGCGTTGACAGATCAGTAGCAAAGTATTATGTCTGACAGTTTAGACAGAAGAAGCTATTCTCACCAGGTATTAGACGTTTATTTCATGGACCACTACATTATGTAACAGAGGACACCTCTAGTTTGAAAAGGCTTGCAATTACAAGGGAAGGATGTGTGTGTTGGTTCTCCGCTCTGATATTCTGCTTTTGATATATTATCATTATTATATTTAAATATTCTGGGAGTGCCCATAGGCCCCCAACAGGGATTGTGCTGAGCACTGTGCAAACACAGATCGGAGACAATTCCTGCCCTGAATGAGTGGCGCTCCCCTTTCTTGTACTCTGCTTACAACCAGCCAGTTCCAGAAGAAAACGACCTCCTTAATTTCCTATTGTTTGCCCAGCCCTTGTTCTGTCCATCCTCACCAGTGTCAACAAAACCGTTCCCTTCAATATAGGAGTTTACCTGATTGTCAAAAATCTGCCATTGTCAATGAATTC